GTTTACTTCCAGCGAAAAACAAAATTAGTTTTGGATCACTTTAATTTTCCAGAGTTTATAGGTTTTTTAAACTGGTGTTTAAAGTCTTCGTAAGAAAAGTCCGCCCCGTTCCAATGACACAAGCCCTCTTTTGCCAATTGACTGCAATTATTTTTGCATTTTCTATTGGCTGATGTCAGGATCCAGCCAATGAGGAATGAATGGCGTGTTGGTGTCAGAAACAATAACAATGGCCCTTCTTTCCCAATTGGCTGAAATTATTATTTTGTTTTCTATTGATAAATGTCAGATTCCAGCTCATTGATATAGGAGATTTCTTGGTGGATTTGATGACAGTAGTCCTCCTTTTCTAATTGGTTGGACTGTTTTTTTTTTTGTGTTCTTACTGGCTGCTGTCAGCGAATAGAAAATATTAATTGCGACAAATTGGAAAGCAGGGTTGGTGTTATTGTATCTGTGCAGACATCAGGTAAAATTTTTACTATAAAATAATAACTATACATGGGGGTTGATTTTCTAAAGCCAAATAGACTGTGCACCTTGAAAAGTGTGGTCCTGTCAGAGCTTAGTAAATGAGGTAAAGATTCCCTTTCTAAAGAATATCAAATCATTTGAAAATAAAGAAAAAATGTTTTTGTTTGCACATGATTGGATGATGGAAGTCAGCAGAGCTTCTGCTCATTTACTAAGCTCTGGAGCAACTGCCCTTGCAAAGTGCACAGTCTATTTGCCTTTAGTAAATCAGCCCCATAGTCTTCACAGCTGCTTTGAATTGCCTGTCCAGGGCTGTTCTGAAGAAAAGGGTGTGTAAAGATGGACTTACATTGGAGATCTTAGGAGGGGAGGCTGCAGGTATTCAAGTAGTTACCTATCAGGAATCCACCTTGGGGGTGCAGGGCGGCCGAGAAAGTGACAACGTAGATCAGATAGCAGATGTTTTGGTGTAGTTTGGTTTTACGCTTCCATTACAAAACAGCCAGGGGCGGACTGACCATTTGGAAACTCGGGCACTGCCCGAGGGCCAGGGGTCAGTAGGGGGCCCCATGAGATGCCCCTGGTACCTTTTTCATAGGCTTTTTTTGAGTTTGGGCAAGGACACAGGGGCTCCATGATCCCCTATTGCCAGGGGGCCCCATGAGTTGTCAGTCCACCCCTGCATACAGCCAATTCAAACTGGAAGGGTGCCAAGTTATGCAAGGTGATATATTTTCGTGTTACTTGGACCTTCCCCTTGTGCAGAGGGGGTGGAGAAGATACACAATAATACTAGATTTTAATGTTATTTCTATATCTCAATGACTTACAGAGCCACGAAAAGCCCAGAAACATTTTCACTTAGAAATGGTCTATCTGTATGAGTCACTTCTCACAAGTTTTCCTGACACCGAGGGATAAAAAGGTGACAGGGTAGGGAACTCCAACATCTGATTGATAGCCTCAGCTCTGTTTCTGTGTGCTGTGTGAAGGGGGGGGTGTCCCTCCTATCTCCCTCCAATCAGCTCTCACTAAGCTCTGCAGAGTGGTAACTTGAACTCTCTGCCCCCTGCCTTCCGAAAGCTCAGACAAGCTGTATAGATTCTGCACTTTGAATGGCTGTAAAGAAGGGTGGGCTTGAGCTGCATATAAACAGGTACAATGTATGTAGGAGGATTTCTTTAATCTCTGCGTGTCATTTGAAGATACTCACTTCACTGGGTATATTTGAGGGTTTACAAGGACTTTAACTACAGGGACAATGCTTCCTGCTGTTCTTCCATGAAACCCAAGTTATTATTATTATTATTATTATTATACAGTATTTATATAGCGCCAACAGTTTGCTCAGCGCTGTACATTACAATGGGGGACAATACATGAGACAGTACAGTAACAATACAACACACGAGGGGTTCAAGGGCCCTGCTCCTTGGAGCTTACAGTCTAGGAGGGAGGGGATAGTGGTACGGGAGGAAAAGCTGTGGGGGGGATGGAGTGGTAGGAAGAGTGGAAGAGATCGGCAGTTAGCAGAGGGAGGGGTAGGTTTCCCTGAAGAGAGTGGGTTTTTTTAGGGTGCGCCTAAAGGAGAGGAGAGTGGGTGATAGTCTGATGGATTGGGGAGGGGAGGGAGTTCCAGAGGATGGGTGATGCCCTGGAGAAGTCCTGGAGGCGGGCATGGGAGGAGGAGACCAGGGAACTAGAGAGAAGGAGGTCTTGTGAAGAGCGGAGTGTGCGTGTTGGGTTGGTATACTTGTTTTACTAAAAATAGATACTGTATATACTACTACATAACTGTTTTACAAGGCATTGTATAATTTTTGTTATTAAAATTCCCTTTCCATTTGAACCCCTTGGCAGTTAGGGTTATGTTTTTTTTTATTGCTGGGAAAAAAAAACACTTTAAATTTTCTCTTCCTCCAGGCACAGAAATTTTTGCTCGAGCAGTCTGGTTTTGCAATTAGCTCAATGGCCTCCGCCAGCAGTCCTGCACAGAGCTAGAGGTGAAAATACAGGCTGTGTGTAATGCAAAAGGAACATGACATCATGCGCGCTTGTCATCTTTGTAAACTGTCAGATATGTGTGTGCGTGTATGTGTGTGCGTGTGTGTATGGGTGTTGTATGTTGTGTGTTTGTATTAGTGTGGGTGGTGTATGTGTGTGTGTATGTGTGGTGTGTGTGTGTGTTTGTGTGTGCGCATCTGGGATATGTGCGTGTGTGGTTGTGTATGCTTGTGTTGTATGTATTGGGTTTGTTGTGGTATGTTGCGTGTGTGTATGTGATGTGTGTTTGTAGTGTGATGTGCGTGTATGTGTGTGCATGTGTGTATGTGTTGTAGTGGTTGTGTGTTGTTGTGTGTATGTGTGCATGTGTGTGTTGTGTGTGTGTGTATGTGTGTATGTGTTTTTTGTGTTTTTTGTGTTGTGTGCATTTGTGTTATGTTTGTGTGTGTGTGTTTGTGTGTGCGTGTGTGTGTATTTTTGCGTGTGTGTATGTGATTGCGTGTGTGTATGTATGTTTTTGCGTGTGTTGCAGGGGTTTTTTTTGGAGACCATGTATATTGTGAATGCAGGTGTGGGAGACCAGATATAGTGAATGCAGGGTCCGGGGAGACCGGATATAGTGAATGCAGGTTGGGAGAACCAGATATAGTGAATGCAGGGTCCTGGGAGGTTGCACCTGATTATATGAATGCACAGGGTCCTGGGAGACCAGATATATAGGAATGCAGGGGTCCTGGGAGGTTTGCAGATAAAGTGAATGCAGGTCCTGGGAGAGCAGATATAGTAAATACAGGGACAGGAGACCAGATTTTAGGATGCAGGTCCAGGGGGATTTAGTGAATCGCCAGGGTCCTACAGGAGACCAGATATATAGTGAATGCAGGGTCCTCCTGGAGACCAGATATAGTTGAATGCAGGGTCCTGGGAGAGCAGAGGTAAATGCACAGTGTTTTACAGATTATTGCAGGGTCCTGGGAGAGCAGATATAGGGAAGGTATTAATACAGGGACTGGGGAGACAGATATAGTGAATGCAGGGTCCGGGAGACCAGATATAGTGAATTGCAGGGTCCGGGGAGACCGGATATAGTGAATGCAGGGTCCGGGGAGAGCAGATATAGTGAATGCAGGGTCCTGGGAGATCAGATATAGTGAATACAGGGTCCGGGAGACCAGATATAGGGAATGCAGGGTCCGGGGAGACCAGATATAGTGAATGCAGGGTCCGGGGAGACCAGATATAGTGAATGCAGGGTCCTGGGAGAGCAGATATATAGTGAATGCAGGGACTGGGGAGACCAAAGATATATAGTGAATGCAGGGTCCGGGGAGACCAGATATAGTGAATGCAGGGTCCGGGGAGACCAGATATAGTGAATGCAGGGACTGGGGAGACCAGATATAGTGAATGCAGGGTCCGGGTGAGACCAGATATAGTGAATGCAGGGTCCGGGGGGAGACCAATATAGTGAAGGAAAGGGGTCCGGGGAGACCGGATATAGTGAATGCAGGGTCTGGGGTGACCCAGATTATAGTGAATGCAGGTCCGGGGAGACCAGATATAGTGAAGGCAGGGTCCGGGGGGGACCGCATATAGTGTATGCAGGGTCTGGAGAGACCATATATAGTGAATGCAGGGTCCGGGGAGACCAGATATAGTGAAGGCAGGGTCCGGGGAGACCGAATATAGTGAATGCAGGGTCCGGGGAGACCAGATATAGTGAAGGCAGGGTCCTGGGAGACCAGATATAGTGAATGCAGGTCCAGGGAGACCGGATATAGTGAATGCAAGGTCAGGGGAGACCAGATATAGTGAATGCAGGGTCCGGGGAGACCAGATATAGTGAATGCAGGGGAAACAGAACAAAACCTCCTGGGCTCAGAGACCCAGATCAGAATTCAGTGGGTAGAACCACATATAAACGTTCATCCAATGGCCGATCAAAGGCAGTAAGTAAAGGGAGAATTTATTAAACTGAGATATATACTCATAAAAGTAGTATTGGTGAAAGCATATAACATCCAACATCAGCGTACTGGAATAGCAGACAGGTGCGGGTCCCATGGAGAGGGGAGACTCTTAGAATGAAGCTGACGTGTTTCAAAGTGGGATCCCTTCTTCCTCAGAGCTACAGACCAGATATAGTGAATGCCGGGTCCGGGGAGACCAGATATAGTGAATGCAGGGACCGGGGAGACCAGATATAGTGAATGCAGGGTCCGGGGAGAGCGGATATAGTGAATGCAGGGTTCGGGGAGACCAGATATAGTGAATGCAGGGTCCGGGGAGAGCGGATATAGTGAATGCAGGGTCCAGGGAGAGCGGATATAGTGAATGCAGAGTCCGGGGAGACCGGCTATAGTGAATGCAGGGTCCAGGGAGAGCGGATATAGTGAATGCAGGGTCCGGGGAGACCAGATATAGTGAATGCTGGGTCCGGGGAGAGCGGATATAGTGAATGCAGGGTCCGGGGAGACCAGATATAGTGAATGCTGGGTCCGGGGAGAGCGGATATAGTGAATGCAGGGTCCGGGGAGACCGGATATAGTGAATGCAGGGTCCAGGGAGAGCGGATATAGTGAATGCAGGGTCCGGGGAGACCGGCTATAGTGAATGCAGGGTCCAGGGAGAGCGGATATAGTGAATGCAGGGTCCGGGGAGACCGGATATAGTGAATGCAGGGTCCGGGGAGACCAGATATAGTGAATGCAGGGTCCGGGGAGAGCGGATATAGTGAATGCAGGGTCCGGGGAGAGCGGATATAGTGAATGCAGGGTCCTGGGTTTAGGAACACTTTAATGTTTGTAGTCATTCCTCATAACTGAGGTCCTCCAGCCTCCTTGTTAGCTCCACTTCAAAAACATGCTTCCTGAGGTTTGTTGAGCAGAACTGGAAGACATATCAAGATGTGGCCAAACCAAAGTTTTGTAAAGTGGTAGTGTTTTTTTCTCTTTCGTAAATACCCTTTTTAATGCATGCTAACAGTCTGCTAGCCTTGCGAGCTGCATCTTACCATTGCTCTCTATTGCTGAGTCTGTCATCTACCGAGGACCCCCAAATCCTTTCCCTTACTTAACCACTTCCCATCCGGCCCATATACATAAATGGCCGGACAGGTGCAGTGCAGGAGTGAGTTGCCGTTTATAAACATCCTCCCATATCCATTGCCTGTTGTGCCCTCCGGACACAGCGGAACACCAATCACTGTACTGGACCTCTGTGTGAGGTCCCGATCATGTGATCACTGATTGGCCAATCAGTGATCACATGAATAGTAGTATGCAAGATATCACTTCCTGACATCATTGCTTACTACTAGTGAAATCTGTGAATGATCAGAGGTCACATGGTACAGGGCTATTCACAACAGACTTGTACCATGTGACAAGCTGTGACCAATCACAGCTCTCACAGTATTTCTCAATGGCTGCAAGAATGCAGCCAGAGAGAAGGAGAAATTATTGCTTTTATAGCCTTTATGGGTGTAAAAGCAATCAGTGTAAAATAAAAAAAAATCATCTTCATCACCCCCAGTGTCATTATAGTGACACTGTACTGCTAGGGTGACAGTAGATTAAAAATAAATAAATAATAATATAAAAAAAAAAAAAAAAATGTAAATAAAAATTTTGATTGACAGCTGTGTTCGAGGCAGTGTGGCACCCATGGGATAATTTCTCCCCTTCCAACCTTTCTCCAACTGTGCTGTTTTGATAGCCTCCCCACGGTAGCTATGTGACATTATGTTTGTAACCATGCATATTTTACCATCGATGTGCTCCTTTTTATTTTGTTCTTTTTCAACATGTTCTTTATATATATATATATATATATATATATATATATATATATATATATATATGAAAATCAATAAAAATTGTTAATGCAAAAAAAAAAAATTTTTGAAAAATTATAATTTTTTGTTATAAACCAGGGGCAGACTGACCATTTGGAAACTCAGGCACTGCCCGAGGGCCCGTTGTCAGTAGGGGGCCCCATGAGATGCCCCTGTTACCTTTTTCATAGGCTTTTTTGATCCCATATTGCCCTGGGGCCCCATGAGTTGTCAGTCCGCCCCTGTTATAAACTAATTTGGGTTATTTTTGTTTTTACTAAAAAAGATAGCTGAATACATTTTGGCCAAGATTTATGAAGAAAAATTATTTATTTGCAATATTTTATAAGAAAAACACTTTTTGTTTTTCAAAATGTTTGGACTTTTTAATTTATATAGCAAAAAAAAAAAATCCCAGTGGTGAATAAATACCAACAAAATAAAGTTTTATCTGTCTCAAAAAAATGCTAAAAAAATTCATATGGGTACAGCATGACCGCGCAATTGTCATTCAAAGTGTGATAGCACTGAAAGCTGAAAATTGGCCTGGACAGGAAGGGGGTGAAAGTGTCCGGACAGGAAAGGGGGGGAAAGTGTTTGGACTTGAAGTGATTAATGTATACTAACAGTCTGCTAGCCTTGCTTGCTGCAGCTTACCATTGCACTCTGTTGCTGAGTCTGTCATCTACCGAGGACCCCCAAATCCTTTCCTTAATTCTCCCAGAGGTTCTCCCCCTAGCATCTAAGTTGCATGCATATTTAAGCTCCCAAGTGCATTACGTTCCATATTCCTACATTGAACCTCTTTAACCTCCCTGGCGGTATGATTATTTCTGAATTTTTGTGCTGAAAGCGGTACCATTATTTTGCATGGAAATATGTAGGTTTTTATTGTAGGCTGTAATTCTTAGGAATAACTCACTGAAATCTGTACGAACAAGAGTCTAGTAAACATCCCGGATATGATAAAACTTGAAACACGAAATCATAAATTATAATTTAATAAATAATCATAAAAAATAATAAATAGAATAATAATACATTTAATTCAATAATATAATCAAACCAAAAACAGTGAAATGTGAAATACAGAGGCAAATTCGCACATCGCTGAGCAAAGTCGCAAAATCGTTTTCAGTGTCTGATGAGGAATTTCCCCACAAATCATTATCACTCAATTCTGCAAGTGGTTCTGATTTACTATCGCTGTTCTCTAGCCGGTCTAAAACCGCTTTTGACCTAAAGGAACGCCATGGACGTTTCTCAGTTTCCAGGCAGAAAGAACAGTCAAAATGCAGGCAGGGCACAGGACAAAGCACTCGGGACAAAATGTATGTGAAATGGTTTGATACAGGAATGTTTTACTATGTAATAATCATTTTAAAAAAATGACATTTTTTAAAAAATCTCAAATTTGCCCCAGGTTCCGGTGCCCGTACGTCCCGACGTCACAGGGACAGGAACACGGAAGCCGGATACCAGAGGAGATGGCCGGGGACACTGCAAGGGATGCATTGCGGGAGCGAAGGAAGACAAGGTAAGCTCTGCAGGGACTCCCTATGCAACGCCGCATGGTAAGCCCGAGTGTAGCTCGGGGTTACCGCTCTTGGTACTCAAATTTTACCCCCGAGCTACTCTCGGGAATACCGCCAAGCAGGGGCGGACTGACCATTTGGAAACTCGGGCACTGCCTGAGGGCCCCGGGGTCAGTAGGGGGCCCCATGAGATGCCCCTGGTACCTTTTTCATAGGCTTTTTTGAGTTTGAGAAAGGACACAGGGGCCCCATGATCCCCTATTGCCCGGGGGCCCCATGAGTTGTCAGTCTGCCCCTGCCGCCAAGGAGGTTAAGTAAAGTTGTTATATCCTGCTGTGAAGTTATTGTCCTGCTTAGCTTTGTATCATCTGCAAACACTGAGACTGAACTATTTATTTCAACCTCTAAATCGTTTATGAACAAGTTAAACAGAATTAGTCCTAGAAAAAAGCCCGGGGGTACCCTGCTTCCAACTCCAGACCATTTAGAAATGTGCCATTAATCACCACCCTTTGGACGTGCGCCTGTAACCCATTTTCTATCCAGAAACATACAATATCATTAATGCCAAAAGACCTTAGTTTATACATTAACCTCCCTGGCGGTATTCCCGAGTGTAGCTCGGGGTAACATTTCAGTACCAAAAGCGGTAACCCCGAGCTACACTCGGGCTTACCCTGCGGCACTGCTCCGGCAAGTGTTCTTCACTTACCTTACCCTGCGCTCCCACGATGTGTCCCCTGCAGCGTCCCCGGCCATCTCCTCCGGCCGATGCCGGCATCCGGCTTCTGTGTCCTGTCCCTGTGACGTCGGGACGTACGGGCGCCGCCGCCGCCGCCGGCGGGAAATTTAAAAATTTTAAAAAATGTCATTTTTTTTTTTTTACATTTTACACAGTAAAACATTGCTGTTTCAACCCATTTCACATACATATTGTCCCTAGTGCTTTGTCCTGTGCCCTGCCTGCATTTTGTCTATTCTTTCTGCCTGGAAACTGAGAAATGTCCATGGCGTCCAAAAAGTGTCCCTTTAGGTCAAAAGCGGTTTAGATCAGCTAGAGAACAGCGATAGTAAATCAGAACCACTTGCAGAATTGAGTGATAATGATTCGTGGGGAAATTCGTCATCAGAAACTGAAAACGATTTTGCGACTGAGCTCAGCAATGTGCGAACTTGGCGCTCTATTTCACATTTCAGTGTTTTTGGTTTGATTATATTATTGAATTAAATTTTTTATTATTTTTATATTATTTTTATGATTATTTATTAAATTATAATTTATGATTTTGTGTTTCAAATTTTATCATACCCGGGATGTTTACTAGACTCTTGTTCGGACAGATTTCAGTGAGTTTTTCCTAAAAATTACAGCCTACAATAAAAAAAATACATATTTCCATGCAAAAAAATGGTACCGCTTTCAGCACCAAAAATCGGAAATAATCATACCGCCAGGGAGGTTAAGTGTTTATTTGGTACTGTATCAAATGCCTCAGTGTTATCCAGATACATCACATGCAAAGGCCTTCCCCTATCCAAATTACAACTTACCTCCCCATAGAATGTTAAAAGGTTGGTCTGGTAAGAATGATTCTTCATAAATCCATGCTAAATGTAGCACACTCTTGGGTGATGCTTGGCTAGATATATGGGTTCAGCTCCCACCTGAATCTGGTGACACCTCCGATTATACACAGAACACTCCGACACTCTGAGAATATTTTTTATGGGTTTTATTGAAGAAGACAAACCCTGAAAAAGAACTAGCTGATTAACACAGGGAATGTACATAAAACACAGATACCACTTTGCATAACACAGTTAGTAAGAAATCACTCTTCACTCGCCAAAGACTCCAAAAACTGACTAGTATCACACTGACTAGGGTGGCACACAGGGGCGGACTGACAACTCATGGGGCCCCTGGGCAATAGGGGATCATGGGGCCCCTGTGTCCTTGCCCAAACTCAAAAAAGCCTATGAAAAAGGTACCAGGGGCATCTCATGGAGCCCCCTACTGACCCCGGGCCCTCAGGCAGTGCCCGAGTTTCCAAATGGTCAGTCTGCCCCTGGTGCCAACGACTGTGTCCATAATGGTGAGAAGTTAAATGATTGAAAGACTAATGCTCTGAAGATGTATGCTCTGAAGTTGAATGCTTTGAAATGTCTACCTTGAAGTTGTGCAAGTAAAGCCTTGAGCCTATGAAAAAGCCTATGAAAAAAGCCTATGAAAAAGGTACCAGGGGCATCTCATGGGGCCCCCTACTGACCCCGGGCCCTCAGGCAGTGCCCAAGTTTCCAAATGGTCAGTCCGCCCCGCTTTTAAATAATACTTACAGGTCTTGTTCCTACCTGAAGCTGTAACCGGACAGTGTAGAAGAAGCAGCAGACAAATTAGTTCATTTC